ACCATAACAATTGTTTCTCTCCATGAGGGTTTACATAAACAATACTGTGTCTCTCCTTGTATCTTGTCAGCCACCCACCAAAATCATTGGCTTTTTGAATGCTGCAATTTTGCCTTCTTAAATTCAATTTGTCACATGTATCTTTCCTGTTCTTATTCACTGATATTTTTATAAAAAATATTAAAATTTACATGGAAAAATCACACACCACTCAGTGAGGATTAACAGCAACACACAAAAATAAACAATACTTTTATTTTCCGTCGTTTACACAAGCTTATTGTTAAAATCATATAAAATTTCACATAAAATTGTTACATTTTAAAATTGACGACATGTTTCGATATACAATCTTATCATCGTCAGGTCTATCAAAATTAAAATTAAAATCTGGTGTATCTGTTGCTCTGCTTATATTGCTTTTGTTTTTACTCGTTTTTATTACATCTCCAGGCTTCTTCGATTTTATTTTTGGAGACGCGCCTGGGTGCCTATATCTGCAAAATCAATTTTAATTTTCATATCGTGATAAGGCTACCGAAATAGGAAATGGAATAATATTACTCTAATTTATAATATTTTAAGGAATTATTCAAATATATCGTATTACAAACAAAATAAATGTAATCACAAAATATAAAGTATTATAACATACCGGGTTGTGTATGAGGTGCGTGTCCGTTGTTATTGAAGGGCAGACAGTAACTGAGTTGTGAGTATCGTGTATGGCTATATATATTGGGTGAAAGTTGTTTAGGGGGTTGGGTCAATGGACTGTAGAATGTTAAATATCGGATTGTTCGTGTAAATGTTGCTGTCGTTTAATGCAAGGTTCTGTTTATGTGTTCTTTGTATATGATATTTCTCTATGGTGTCTCTATGTCGTTTATTTTGTATTATTTTTATAATGTCCAATGTATGTTCTATTTTGTTGTATGAATGTCCTGTGTTTAATATATGCTTTGCATATGCTGAATGGTCTTTATTATGTTTTATTGCTGTAATATGTTCTTTATATCTTTGATTAAAGGTGCGTCCAGTTTGGCCTATATAGGTTAACGGGCAATCATTGCATTTCAACCTATATATGCCTGGTTTTTCGTATTGATTTGTTGTTAAGAATTCAGTCCGTACCGCGAAGAAAACACTACACTTCACCATTGCAAAGATCAACTGGTTAACCTTGTTTAAGGAAATAATACGACTAAAACGCTAATTAACCTTTGGAGCCGAAGCTCTTTCAAATGAAACTTAAGAATCCAGTCCGTACCGCGAAGAAAACACTACACTTCACCATTACGAAGTTCAACTGGTTAACGCTGTTTAAGGAAATAATCGCTGTTTATTCTGAGAATCATACGAAATACATAAATGAAACACGAAGAATTATTTATTGTTGAAGGAGGTGGTACATATAGTTACCACTGTGCTTTTAGAACGTTAAATATAATTTTAGTTTTGCAGTCGGTTGAACGGTGTGTGGACTTGTACTGAAAATACCAACGTTTCGGAGCGACACACACCCTACTTCGTCAGGGCTGAAAGTGATCGTCCGAAACTTTACAAGTCCGAATGGCATTACAACCCAGAAGATCAACACGGACATCTTCACCGCTGCTAACAAAAATGTCTCTTGCTTTGCGGAAGTTTGGCGTGCTTTATTTGGCAACTATTGTCACCAGGTCAGAAGTGGCACACCCACAGGAAGATGATAACGCCGACTTTCCACTTCAAGATCTTGGACAACTTCGTGGAAGTGTTCTCGGAGAAGAGCGAGATTTTGGTCAGAAAGCTGCAGAAGGAAGTCGGATCTCAGGGCTTCGACGTGTATCCCTACATCACCAAGTGCGCATTGGACATTATCTGCGGTGAGAAAATACGCCCCATTCTCTGTGCATTGACACGCCATCTTAAGTTTTCTTAATTTAAAAAAAAAATTAAGTGCGCTACTGAAGACTTCATTCAAAGTCTGCTCTGTTCCAGAGACGGCCATGGGGACTCCCATCTACGCTCAGGACGACAGGGGATCGGACTACGTCAAGGCTGTGTACGAGTAAGTACGTTTTCTGAAAACATCGTTCCTTTTCTTGCTACGTCACTTTGCCAGGTTGTGAAACAAGGAACATTTACAATACTTTTATTTTCCGTCGTTTACACAAGCTTATTGTTAAAATCATATAAAATTTCACATAAAATTGTTACATTTTAAAATTGACGACATGTTTCGATATACAATCTTATCATCGTCAGGTCTATCAAAATTAAAATTAAAATCTGGTGTATCTGTTGCTCTGCTTATATTGATGATAAGATTGTATATCGAAACATGTCGTCAATTTTAAAATGTAACAATTTTATGTGAAATTTTATATGATTTTAACAATAAGCTTGTGTAAACGACGGAAAATAAAAGTATTGTATTGAAACACAAGCATGATGCAATTAAGATATAAAAATAAACAACTGACTGAGACACCAAGAAGATGTACCAATTTTCTGGCTGTGGTGTTTAATTTGCAGAAGTGAAAAAACTAAAGAAAAATTGGTTTTACCATTCTTAAACTTATTAAATCTTTATGATGAGGTATCCTGGCAAACAATAAAATCTGAACTTACTGTCCAGGAAGGATAACCCTGATTTTGCAAATCATTAGCTGTTCAACTATTGTTCTGTAGCTATTCAGTCTACTCCATGTGGAGTGAGGTCCACCACCCCTATTTATAGAAGAAAATTGTCCAGGTAAAAGAGGTAAGCGACTATCAGGTGTGCAGCACCATGTAAAATTCTTGTCTAAGTAAAGAATATGACCTCCCCTTTAATAACCAGTGAACATACTAAGGGACATCACTGCATTACTCCATTAAAATTAAATACTTAATTTTTTTGTGACACACATACCATTTTGTATCTGAGCAACTTTCTTCGCAGTTTCTCGAATAATTTGCATTCTCCATTTCTCTGCTTTGGGCAGATCAAGACATTCAGATGCAAGATATGGTCTCCTTTCCCTTTCCTTTCCTGTATCACTTACTTGGGCCGCCCTCCAACGGGCCAAAGTTGTCCTGGAACCAATGGTATGACCAAATAAGAGAACTGAGCATTAAAACAGTAAAAATTTCATAATGAGTAAGCATCATACATGTCCCATTCTTATCACCTATTACTTCAGTGAAATTTCGTTTACTTACATCGCTTTCTCAGCATTTCGGGCCTGAGAAAAACAAATAAAAATAATATTAGTAACTTTGTACAATTAAAATAAATTATAGCTTTAAAGTACATGATTTTGGATTCGGCCACTCAGAATTTATCCTCGTAACTTTATTTATAGTTTACAGCCACACAACCTAAAATTACCATTGCAAAAACGAATCCGAGAGATATACAACTTTGTAAGAACTGCTACTGCTGGTGTCTGAAAATTTAACTGCCCATTTTAAACACCGCTTTAGTGTTAAAATTCTTTATTTTACAACACGTTTTCAAATAGACATCACACAATTCCGCTTTCACAACATAAGCATGCACACATAGACTAGATCATAAAGTAAGAGCAATACCAACTGTGTAAAAATTGAGGTTTTCACAGCGGTGAGTATGAAGATTTCTGTCTTCTGGGTTATTGCGCTGTGTAGTCTGGTCGAAGTTTACCTCTGAAACGTTGGTAAACCTCGACCAGACTACACAGCGCAACAACCCAGAGGACAGAAATCTTCAGCAATACCAACTGTTGGTTGTGACGTCACTCGTACGATTTCAACCGCTCGGTAGGTTATCTATGACCTACTACCTGTGGCGAAGAGAATAATGAGATATCGAATGACAAACAATCATTACGAAAGGCAATCGATTCACTCGTACTTACATGGCGATAATATGAATAGGAGAGATTTTTATAAAAAAGATTTGATGTCACAAGTAACTTTTATTGACGTGTTGAATTCCTTCTCCGCCCGTGAAGTATCCATACTTACTTTTGTGGCGTAGGCCTACGAATATAAGATATTTTAAATTAATTTCAACACTAATCACGACGCTATCTAGCCGGCAGTTTTTCATGCTATTATAAAATGTTGTTTAGCAACACAGTGGGGTGCTTCAGAAGTAAAACATCTAACAGTGTATTTTCAGTTCAGTATACATGTTTCACAGTGTGGCCTCATTTTACATAATCCATTTCTTCTGTACATCTCGTATATTAACGACCGTATCACCATAATATCAGGCAAAAATTATACATTACAAGACAAATGCGGAAGTTGTCAAATTATGCCCTGGCAGCGATACGCAGATTGTCGATTGATGATACCGTGCTAACAGGTGAAGGCAGTGTGTGACATTCGTTATCAGTTCTATTAGATTAAAGAAATTTGTAAAAAAAAAAGAGAACATTATAGTGATCAGACGTTCTCGAAATAGTGGGTAACCTGAAAGTAAGAGACCACTTGGAATACACAGGTATGAATGAAAGAATAATATTAAAATATATCTTTAGAAAATATGATTGCAGTATATACAATGATGCTAAATTTGTTGACCAGCTGAGAAACTATCAGCTTCCAAAGAAGGTATTTCATTTCAAATGTCGGCTCTCTTGGTTGAGGTTTAGAGTGTTTTTCTGAGTGATTCGAATGTGTCGAAAAAAATTTTGACTGCTTCCATACCCTCGCATATAAATCACACAGAATCAACCTTCCATTAAAATCTGTATAACCTACACGGTTAAGAAACATCGTTAAATAAATAAAAAACCAAGATTTCTAGTAAGGAATAACGCGAGTAAAGCTCAAATAAAGAACTGATTACGCTAATTCCCATTTTGTATGCGATTTTAATCTGTCCAAACTGATGGAAAATGTCTTGAAATTTACCACCGTCGCTTTTTCCACATTTTTTTAATTTTAATCAAACTTTTCGTTTAAGGCTACAGTGGTTGAAGGTCCCTATAGTTGGTCCAGCGTCGTGAAACGGATGAAGTAAACCCAGCAATGCAGCTATTGCATTCCAACGCAGACCGTAGTGACGAATGAATCCTCCTCTGAGTGAGTGAAGCTCTCCCTGACCTGGTATGCACCTGCCACAGGTTTTACAGAATAATTAGGTGTGCGAATACTCAAACAACCAAGCGTCACTGAAAATATTTCGCAATTTAAAACTGAGAGTAAATTTCATAATGGAAATAACAGGAGAACCTGTCGGCGGTTATCATGTCTTCATTACAGTAAATGAGGCGCAGTGCAGAATGTACTGGATTTTAACTCCGCTGAGAGTAACAGGGGTGTAAATTGTTGTTTGAACTAATTTTGTTTCAGCAACAATTAAATTAAGAGTGAAAGTTAACACAGTGTTTCCAGATAACGGGAACAATTCGTGAAGTTCTGAACATTTTAAGTATTGCTTCCAGGACATTTCTTCTATGAACAATTTGTCAAACATTTTTCTTTGTTCACGGACTTTTTGTCCGGTTTATTTTGTCCACAACACAAAGTTACTTTTGTCTTTTCTTAGCTACGCCTATAAATATGCCGTCGGTTGTTTGCCGCTCGATGTTTCGAGACAACGGACACATTTCTACACGTTTTTGAAACACACGGCACGAAAATCTCTAGTCACATTAATAGGTTTCTATAGTGAGATTCGAAGCCAATATTCCATAAATACAAATTAAAATTTAGAACGCAGTCTTCTGGGTTGTGACGCAGTTTTTAGCCTTGTAGGTTAGGTTAGGTTACAAAATAAATTAGATGTCATGGCTGTGATGACATTTATAAAGATCAACCTGATTAAAACTGTATTACCACGAAGAGGCAGTTTTTTATCCGAAAATTTAAGCCTTAGCTATACGAAGACACACGCAAAATAATGTAGTTCCAAAATGGACACCCCTGTTCTTTATGAAGACAAACGTCCGACCTTGAGTCCAATTGGCATGGCGAGCAATGCACATACAAACTGGGTCAGACACAGAACACATATAGTAGGACTGTGATTTATACTTCATCCTTCAAAACCTGCAATTCATTTGAATCATCATCAGGCTTTACAGATAATGTCTTGTGGCCTGTTCCAATTCAGAATTACTTCTGAAATTATAGATTCGTGTAGACATTTGACAGGAATCTTTAAACGAGGGATCAGCCCTCGCAAAGCCTTTGGCTACACAGGAGAGCTCAACACAGACAGACGAGGACAAAGATCCATGCATTAACATGGATTCGAACCCACAATCCCAATATACAAGCACTCAATATCGACGCGGACACTGAGACAGTTATTCTAAATAATATTTGAAATTTTAGTTCCTACCGCAAAGAAAACAACGCGTTTCCATCACAAAGAATAACTGCATAATGCTGTTCAGGAAAATAATTTCTTCGAGAATGATATGAAACCCATAAATGCAAATGTACAGTTACTGATTATTAATGCAAGTTGTATATACAGTTACCACTGGGCTTTAAAGGATTAACTACCACTGGAATGTGTCGACACATTTCAGCATAACACTTGAAACTCCCAAAAGCTTTTTGTCACAAACGCAATAAAAAAGACTCGTTACGATTGCAAAAGAGGTTAAGTTTACATTGAATCTTACGTTGCTTAATGGCCCGTTTTCGTATACAGAGCTTATGTAACGTCGAATGAGATGACTGGTTATAGATAGGCTGGACAGCTGAGCTTCGACTCCCAACAGGGGCAGTAATATTTCTCCTCACCATCCACCAAGCGCCCTGCCCAATGGGTACCAGAGGCTCTTTCCTCCGGAGTAATATGGCTAGGACGTAAAGCATGTCACTCAACCCCATCTGGCACCGACGTTAAGAATGTGTGGAGTTTTTCCACCACTCTCACATATAAGTGTTCAAAAAATTCACACACATTCAATGAATGAAATAAAGGCATTTTAATAAACTAAACTACTATACATCAGCATTGGTACTTAAAAAATAAGCGAATCTAATGTAAGTGTTCAAAATTGCCACCGTTAACTTCGGGGCATAGTTGACAGCGGTGAGTCACTGACTGACAAGCGGCCTCCAAAGTTATAATACATCTTTTTGGGACAGCCTCTACATCAAAAACGTCTAATGTTTTTAATTAATCACAGAGATGTTTCCTCACCTTCATTTTCGCGTACAAATCTACACCGTTACCGAAGGGCCTCGTACACACATACAAACGTTGTTGGCAAACAAGTTTCGTCCTTGTTTTCAAACAGTCCTGGAATAAATATTCTGTGTTTTTGTTTCCCCGTAGAAAATACCCATATAGTTTCACAGGTCTCCTTTTTTAGGCGAAATTGCAAGGAAATGCGCCTATTAGCTTCGACATGCCTGTCCGTCCGCATGTAACAACTTTTGAACCGCTAAACGGATTCTAATTAAATCTGACATAAGAGAAATTTTAGTAACATTTGTAGACAAATTCAAGAGTTTGGAAACTGACACGTGTTTGTTTCTGCTCCTGGAAGTGAATTTAAACTGTGGGGGGGGGGGGGGGGGGAATCCCCAGCCAGGGAGGTGTCAGACAGCATACACGCAACAGTAAAGAGGAATTCCAGGGGATTCCCCATGATGACCTCGTATCCCATTCAGACAGTTTTCCGCAAGCACAAAGCCTTTAACAATTCTGGCGTCACAGTCGCCATTCGCAGAGGTAAACGATATTGGTTTTGATGGACCAAATTGTCCCCCTAACAACTGCTTACACTGCTTATAACGCGGCATTCAGGAACTGAAAAATCTTTTCGCAATAACAGCGCAAAGGCGTCAGAATTGATACGATCCACGTTCATTTCCTGACTTGATCGTGTTTTAAAATAAAGAAACGATAAAATATCCACGTGTTTAGGAAGCAGACTGTGCGTTAAACCGCTGGGATTTATAATCTCAAAATTTTCTTTATTGAATTTTCAAACACAGGTTCATCTACTCGGGTCTGCATTCACATGATAAGACAAAATCTTGATCTGATTTACTCACTGGTTCTAAGATAAACACTTCAGTGTTGTCCTGAAACACTAACAAAGAAATTTCACTTGAAATGACGCAGTCTCATCATCCTCGCATGAATTCAGGATCTCGAATAAAAGAGTTTACGTATATATTTTTTTTCTTGAAAGTTCTGTGCATAAACGAAAACTTAGGAAACTGCACCAGGCTCTATTATGTCGGCACGATATTTATCTTAGTAGACAATGTGATAGATGAATTGTCCAGACCATAACGAAGAATAAATGTATTAAATTTGTCATTCTTGTGTTCCATTTTTAACACGATACAAGTAAATGGATAATTGTAGCGCAACAGGCTATGCAGCAGACTGTCGTATGCGGTGTTGAACAGCTAAAACACTGCGATCCTGGGTTCGAATACCACTTGAGGCTCTTAAGTATGTCAGCATCTTTTAAGTGCGTTCGAAACGAAGTTGCAAGGATGAGTCAAAAAGCTTTGCCAATCTGTCCGTTTATTGCATCTAACAATTCGAGAACCGAACGAATGGATTTTCATGAAATTTGATCCCGAGGAGTTTTACTAAAATCGATCAACACATTACAATTTTGGTGAGGGTCGGTACCAACAGTCAAAAATGGATTCTTTTCCGATATTATCTCTTTGTGGTGATGAAAATTGTTTTCCTCGGCCACGTTTCATATGCTGCAAATAATCTGAGGAGGAGGATAGGGAAGAATTTGCCAATAGCAACATTCTGACACTATTGTAATGAATACTTCACGATGAACCATAACTGCATGCTTAAATAAAGAATAAATAATAGCCGAGTAACCTACATTCATTCGTATTTTGGCTGCATGACACTAAACCTGTTCCTGCAAAACTATTGTTATTTTGTCCTTGATTCATAATCTCTTCAATCTGAAGAACGTAGTATCTTATGTTATACTTAAATGTTTAAGAAATGCCTGTGTGGGAAACTTATGGAAGAAATAACTAACAGGGAATCAAGTTTTCGATTTTAGGAAAACTGTCGACTATAAAGCAGACGTGCACTTTGTAATCGGAGGTTTTCCAGCAACGGACAGAATGAAACAATGGAACAGAGTTTCTCAATTAGTGTCAAATGTGACGAGACATTTCGAAACAAACACCTCTCTACAATATTTCACAGAGTAGAGTAATGACAGTGAGACTTTGATCTTTCTTTATTGGTCTTTGTTGCTGTTTTTAAACTGTTGCTGCTCTGATTAATAACATGCCGGTGATACTAATAATAATGTACTGGTGGTCTTTTTCGCATTTCGGTTGAAACGGTTTCTAGTTGCGTTATTTTTTGTATTAGTTTATTTTCCTATTTCGTACATCATATTCACACTTGCCAAGGCAATTTATGATGTGCCTTGAGGTACTGTAATATATTTATGTGTGTCGCAACATGCGGGAGGTTGAGAAACATTTCATTAAACTGAACGATCCAGCATGAAGCTCGTACATAACCTCACATCTCGAGTCGGCAGGAACCAATCTTATTTCTGCCATATTGCATGGGCATTATCACGACTGATGGATGAGCCTTCTATGAAAAGAAAATGAGACACGATATTGTTACAGGGGTTGTCTCACATCACAGAGATCAGTAGACCTTGGAGAGAAGTTTGTAGAGAAAATGCAAGTCATGGCAGAAAATAACTCTTTGTGCCTCAGGATTGGATTACATCAACATTACTTATCGATCGTGAGAATGATTCTTATTCTTGTTCATCGTCCGTGCACGTAATTCCAGGTGTGTTATTAATGTTAAAATGAACCTTCCAGTTTCAAGAGTCCCATTTTGTATTTATTAGATTAACTATAGACTATGAAAAGAAGACTTTGACCCACATGCGTAGTATGACGTTTACAGTTCCGTTGCTTTTATTTATTCATTTTTGGTTCATTCAACGACACTTCCAATTGGACTTTATAGCGTCGAATGGTGGGATTATTAGAAAATAAGGAAGCGGTTGTATCCTAATTTTTTTGCTGTTCTGGAACATGTTTGGAGGAACTGAGGAAAACACAATAACTTTGGCGAGAACAGCAAAAATGACAGGATGGCGAAGCACATT